GCAGTCATTAATTTTATAATACAAAACTTTATTTTTTTAAATATTTCTTATTAATGTGGGATATATTTATAGTATAAAGTTTTTTTTTTTTTTTCCGATGTGGGATATATTAATTAGAGAAAACTTAAATAAGGTTGAACTTTTTCTCGAAATATAAGATGACTATAAGACACAAGATATAATGCAATAAATTGTAATTATTTACCTTCATAAATTGTTGTTTCATTTTGGAAGAAATCTAGTTCCATAAATTTTTTTTATCAACAAAAAGAACACTAATTTTTTAAAGAAAAAAAGTACAAAGATAATCTAATCACTGTTAACATACATACTTCTAACTCACTTAGTTATAATTGATTTTCAATATATTTAATATTTATTTAATAACTGATACTGCAACAATACGCTTTTCATAAGATCAGAATGACTAGGGCTTTTAATCGTATCACTGTATCACCATATAACAAAAAAATCAAATTAACACTATAGTATATTTTAAAGACTCTCTAATTAAAAGTATTGAACCAATCACATAATTGAAAAAAAGTTTCAAATTTTCCTTTTGGCCAATAAAATGATCTTACCCAAACAAGTGTAAGGAATTTTATTATCAATTATTAGCTTAATATACCATTATATAGACCTAAAAATTACCTCATTTCTACAAATTATACAGGTTATCTGATGAAAAATTAAGTTATACTCTACTCTTTTTATATATTATGTGCTTTTATTTTGGGTTGATGGATGTACAATTGAAAGGTTCTTTTTCTTTACATTTTATTTTTATTATTTCACTTCTCTAGCACAATGCAGGTGGGACGCTTCTGCTTTGAATTCTGCAGGGTGACAAATTCTAAACGCATAGTGTCGATACGTGTAAAGGTAGTGTCGACATACAATCTGTGTTGGGTTTTAATTCCTCTAAGCATTTCAATAATGGTCAATATTAGATCAGGTTCTTAATGTTTTCCTTTATGAACACTTTGATCCTAAAATTTTTAATTTATTATTTTATAGCATTGGATTATAGCTTTTATTATTGTCATACGGTCTTTAAATTTTTAAAATATTTTAACTTAAGTCCCAAAACTTAAATTATTTTCATTTAAATCCCCTTTTAAAAAATAATTATTTTCCTATTGTCATACCTAACTTCTTCCCTCCCTTTTTCATATTTTTGCCAAAAAATTCTCAATTTTTATCATATATGCAGGTTGTTAAGTATATTATTTGAAGTGTATTATTTGTTTCAAATTTATTTAGATAACATTATATATTTGTGATGAGTTTTAGTGATTAATTTTATTATCAAAAGTTCATATTCTATCTGTGATTTAATAACGAATTTTTTCATTATCATTGAACATGTAAACATTTGTGACCAAAAGTTAAAATTTGTCAAAATTGTGATGAATTGTAGTGATGATTTTTCTCGTCACAAGTATGTATTCTTTTTGTGACAATTTTTAATAACAAAATATATTTTTAGTAATGAATTAGTTAGTCATTATTGAACCTGTAGGTATATGTGATCAATATTTGAAATTTTTTTTATTTGGAATGAGTTATAGTGATGATTTTTATTGTTACAAACTTATTTTTTATTTATGATAATTTTTTAGTGCTGAAATATCTATTTAGTGATGAATTTTTTTTTATTATTATTGAACATGCATGTATCTGGGACTAATTTTTAAAATATGTCAGAAATGTAGTGAATTATTGTGTTGATTTCAACATTTGTCACAAATTTTTGTTACTAAAAATCCCATTTCTTGTAGCGATGGTAATACCAAATGACCCAAAAAAATTATATTTTAACCCAAAAGAGATGAAGAAATGACAGAACACTTCGAGGGGTAATGCTAGCTGGTAATATGTTCATTAAAATGAAATATCTCAATGTTTTTAATTTGTAAGGATACTTGATGGAATTGGGTTGGAGTACCCTTGTACTCTAGTAATAAATGTTGTTTGTTTGATGTTAAAAAAAAAGAAAAAAAAACTCATAATCAACCTGAAGTTTCTTAATTAATTTTCATTTCATCTTGGATCAATTGATAATGTTTTTTTGTTTTTTTTGAGACACATGATGTACAAAAAAATATAGAAGTAGGAAAACCCCTTAGACTCTCAAATAAAATTATTTATTTTTTCTTGATAAAAAAAATAATGTCTCTTTTAATCTCATCACTTCTTATCATTGAAATGTAATTTCTCAAGACACATAACATCTACATGGCGATAAGTAGGCAATGATGTGGAATTTTATTAGAAAAACTTACCATAAACCATTTTAGTGCACTCTCTAAAGTTTCCAAATTAATTTGGGATTGAAAGAACACAAATTTTCAAGACTAAATGGATAACTAATCAACAGTTAATAAACTAAGCATTAAATTTAGCCTTTAACATTTCAAAAGGTTTTTTTTTTTTACAAGGGTAATGGTTAGCAAGTCAGTATAAGTTAGTTGTTAGCAACTGATTCTCAGACTGGGTGAACATTTCACCCCCTCAAATGAGGCGCACGGTCATCAGTTCATTTTTTGGTCGAGTTCACAATTGTGACGGAACTCGAAATTCCGATCATCTTACCCAAGCACTTAAGACTTGAAGTCGAACCATTGAGCCTAAAAGTCCGGTTCATTTCAAAAGGCTTAAACCAAATGGTTCCTGAACTTCGAGATTTGAATATTTGAGCTAATTTCGTCCACAGATATGGAATAGTCCCTAAATTTGCGGGCATCTTTTGTGTCCTTTAATCGACAGAAGGCGGATGGTACACTTTTTTCCATTAACTTTGCTTTAAATTTTGGGTTCTTTTAATTTACGCTTTAATAGTAAAAGTTAAAAATAAATTTTTAGTATTAATTGTTATTAAAAAAAAATTTTAATATTTATTTAATTAATCATTTAATTAAAACAATAATGCAGTATTGATAATAAAGTTAATATTAATTTTTGTTATTTTTTATATTAACTAATATTAAAAAATATATTAATTATAATTTTAACGTATATTTTAAAATTATAGGTTAGATAAATCTTTAAATTTAAATTAAACGTGCGGACACGGAAATGAATTTTGAAAAGGATGATTTGGAAAGTCTATGCCACACTTTGGATCCCACAGTCCAACCTAGTGGTTGAAACTCTGGTTTAATATAGATTACTCTGGTTATGTGTTTAAACTCTATAGATTTTTTATTTCATAAAAACCTAATCCTTTATTTTATTTGGTTTGTAGGTTTTAACTTCTTACTTTATATTATGACACTTTTAGCCCTTCACCTATTATAATTAAATTGAAGAAAATAGCCATAACTTTATATTATTTCATTAGTTCTGTTAACTCTATTAATTGACTATCAACTTTGTTAACTAAAAATAAGTTTTTACCAGTTAACAATCAACTAATAATTAGTTAATAGAGTTAACAATTAATTAACAAAATAGATTTATTAACT